TTCCCCCCCCCCTCTCTCTCTCTATCTATCTTGCCACCTGTAAGTTGCTTTTTCACTTTTTCTAATGGACTGAGAGTGACATTGACATGGCGTTGGGTGGAATCAATGCTAAGACCAATAACGTGAGGTTTGTCTGAATAGCTAAGCCCAACATGGATTGATGCTTCCATGACTCACTACCCTCAAGCCATGAGCGCTGTATAATGTATGTACTCGCTCCAAAATTCAAACCTTCTAAGTTAAATCACTCTCTCTCTTAGCTAAATCATTCACTGTATAATGCAGACAGAAGAAGGGTTATGGGCTAATGGCCAACTAACTAGAAAAACAACGATCTTAAACATCATCACAACCATCAATCCAACTGCATTGGCTGGGTAATACAATATATAGGGCCCAAAACATTATCAAAGATTAAAATATTGATATTATCTTTACCGGTGCAGTCTGCTACATATACGTACACTCATACACTGATATACCTTTTAAAATATTTGGGTATTTTGGGATATATGCCCCAATTCTCTAATAATTATAAATTAGTTGATTCCAATTCCAATTCTAAATGAACCAAAAACAACAACTGGAACCCAATAATTATGTATACATATATATTATGTATAACTATATTAAGTTTAATATTTATATTTTCTATTTTCATTTTATTATACATATATACTTTAAACATAATTGGTTTTTTAAAACTTGTTAATTTTTTTATCATTTTAAACACAATATGATGGTTGTAGATTAAATGCAAAGATGACCTAAAACACAACATAATAATCAGATGCGAATGTGAATTTAGATTTCATAATCAAATGCGGATGTGGGATGCATGTGGTTCTGATATAAATCCAAACCATTTATAATCCTACTGTCTACATTGTGTGGGGTTGGTGTAGATCTGAGCTAGACCTTGCTCAGAAGAAAATAGTTGCTTGAGCCTGAAAATTTGTTGGTCTAGTCGGGTTTAAACTAAGTTATAAATTATCATTCTTAAGTAGGAGTCTTAAGACATTTATAATTAGGTCATTATTAGTTTTAATATTTTAATTAAATTTTATAGTTTTCATATGGAATGCAAGTGGTTTATTTCATTATTTTTAATAATTTTTTACTTTTTATTATTATTTTACGAATTACTACTTTTTATTAATTTCTTTAATAGTTGCTAGATAAAAATTTGCTAAAATTCTATTTTATTTATTAGGTTTCAAATTATAGTTTTATGACAACTAACCAATTAATAGGATTCGAATATGAATAGGGATGGCAATGTTGCCCATTCCATTGGGTACTCAACTTCCACGACCCGATGGGGCTGAGGATGGATATTGCCTCGACAAGGATAGGGATTGATACTGATACCTAATCAAGGATGAAAACGGAGATGAGGATGAGGATTTGTTTCATAGTCTTAAACTTTGAGCTTCGACTTTGACTAATTTAATTATGACAAAAAAAAGTTAATCTATAGATTAATTTAATTATAACATTTAATGATTAATAAAGTAAAATAAATAAAATATAACACTAATAGATAATATAAAAAAATAATTATTTATTGAGTAATTAGCAATAATTTATTATTTTTGTTAAAAATTATTAATATAATTAATCTAAATTATTAAATTATTTTTATAATAAAGTACTAAAATAAAGATTATTAAATTATTAATATATTATCAGTTTATATTGTTTCACATTTTCATAACAAATCCTATGTATTGCATGAGTCCCTATTAGTAATAAACACAAATACAGGAGTATAAGGCCAAGATACGATGTGAGGTCGTTGTTAGGCGCGCCTCGTAAAGAGCAGGACTCGTTAGTTGGTATCGTTTTTATATTTCAAATTATAAAAGTAAGCTTAGTCGAATCTGACCCAAAATTCCACCAACCACAAGAAGGGTCAACAACTCAACATAATAATTTATTTATTCATCGAAAAGGAAAAAAGAATACCACAAGTTACCACAAAACGCCAACCCTCCAACTACCGACATCCCTATCGATGGCCGATGGGTTGGAACTGGGATTGGGAAGGGCTTTGACAAAGACAAAAACCTTTCTCTCTCTCTCAATGGACTTAATCAACACGATGTATTCATCCTCTCTCACTCTCTCTCTCTCTCGTCATTCCTCACCTGCTTGGTTGATCCTATACCTTTATATTTATATTTAGAGGTTTCAAAGTTTTTAAGTTGAACAATTCCTTAAAATGGCTTTTAAAAAAATAATTATTTGACCAAATGGTTTAGTTGTATATTGTATGAAGAGACGTATTAAAAAATAAAAATCTCAACTAATAGCTTAATCTTTTGGGTTTAACGATTCTTTGAAAGGAGGAATGACAATCATCTCAAGTACGACATCATTGAACATTGTACTCACTTTCAAAAAAAAGCACATATCTACAAAATGGAGACCTAATAACCATAAATTATTATATGATGAAATAGTGAATAAATTTACAAGTGTAATTTCTTCTGTACCCAAAAAATAATACCTTCTATATTATATGTAGGGCCCGTTTGAGAGGGGTTCAGCGTTGATTAAAATGCATTGGCCGAGCCTAATTGAAGGGTATTGATGAGGGCGGATTTAGCCCTCAAATGACATTGTGACATGTAGTACCTCAGAACAACTAGGTGACACCCGGAAGCACTTAGGCAACAACTTGTCAAGTTGATGGTGTCCAACCTGGTGGACTGGCGGTCTGGCACATGCACCAACCTGGCGACCTACAAGACGTGTTCACCGACAAGTTCGGCATACATATCCTAACACTCCCACGATCCTTGGAAGTTAGCCCACGTGTCGAACGATCCGAAGGGTGGTCAACATGCATGGCGGTTATCTCCAGGAATCTCGAACCACTTAGACGAGCTCGCAGAAATCTCGGATATGGTGCGTGAAGCCCACGCACCTGGCGGCCTGGTCCAAGCGCCGACTTGGTGACTTGGCCCAGGCGCAAACTGGCGAGCTGATAAAAGACTTCGGCTCCACATAAGACCCAATCGCCTCTTCGGCATGGGTGAAATCAAAGATTAAGGAGAGTGGACTACGAGTCGCTCATAGATCCTAAGGGCTAAGGTGCAGAGCTGATAAAAGACCTCGACACCACATAAGTCCGAGTCACCTCCTCGACATGGGCACATAAGACCCAATCGCCTCTTCGGCATGGGCAAAATCAAGGGTAAGGAGAGTGGACTGCTAGTCGCTCCCAGAGCCTAAGGAATTGAATCAACGCTTACGAGCTCATTGAATTAGTCATTTCAGGCCAAAAGAAGCAATTTACTCCCTTCATCGAATTACTTTCGGCTCGAGAGTGGGGGGCAAATGATGAGGGCGGATTTGGCCCTCCAATGACATTGTGACACATGGCACCTCAGAAAAACTAGGTGACACCCGAAAGCACTCAGGCAACAACTTGCCAAGTTGATGGTGTCCAACCTGGTGGCCTGGCCCAGCGCGACCTGGCGGCATGGCCTAGGCGCGGCCTAGCCCAATGCGAGCTGGTGGCCTGCCCCAGACCTGAGCTGGCGGCCTGCCCCAGGTGCCGACCTGGCAGCCTGGTCCAGGCGCCGACCTGGCGGCTTGGCACATGCGCCGACCTGGCGACTTGCGAGACGTGCTCACCGACAAGTTCGGCATGCATATCCTAACACTCCCACGATCCTTGGAAGTTGGCCCATGTGCCGAACGATCCGGAGGGTGGTCAACGTGCATGGCGGTTACCTCCGAGAATCTCGAACCACTTAGACGACCTCGCAGAAATCTTGGATATGGTGCGTGAAGCCCACGCCAAACAATGCCTATATAAAGGCACCAACCCCAATGGCAAGGAGGCAAATAGGCAAGTAAACAAATTCTAACTCTTATACTTTGTGATTTTTAGCTCGTAGTCTACTATGAGAGTACTGACTTAAGCATCGGAGCGACCTCGCCGGGTTAGCCACCCCGGGTCATCTAACATTTGGTTCCTTGTAGGTCTCTAAAGAGCAATGAACCTCATCAATCCAGCTTGTCACTAGGCAGTTCGCTACCTAGGCTACCCGACACCTCACAGGCAGCTCGACACCTGGTCAGCCCGGCACCTCACAGGCATCTTGGCACCTGGTTAGCTCGGCACCTCACAGACAGCTCGCCACCTGGTCAGCTCGGTACCTCATAGGCAGCTCGACACTATAGCCAGCTCACCACCTAGCCTGCCCAGCTCGACTCAGCTAGGCAGCCAAAGTCCACTTTGGCTTGAGTCATCGGCCACTTAAAAGCAGACCAAATAAAGAAATACTTAGCCAAAAAATCGATGCATCAATAAAAATCGATTCATCAAGTATAATTGTGAAAATGGTATTTTTGTATTTTGAGATTTGACATAATTAAATCAAATTATAATGATTTTAAGTATGATAGCTGGTCGAAGTTGGATACGAATGAAACATATACCATATAGTTTATTGAAATATGAGGTGATTTGTTTGATAATGTTATTTCTTTATTTCGAATTAATTCGGACATGACCTGATTGGCCTTTAAGTGCTAAGTTCTAACATCCACTACCTTTCCAGTTTTCCTCTTTTTACACTTTTACAAAAGTAGGCTCCACCCAGACAACGTTCCACGTTTAACGTTTATTAATTAGTGGGCCATGTCATGTCGTTGCTGTGTTGTCCTTTCAAAGGTATATTTACTTAAATGCCCTCAATACCATGCTTATGTATTGTATAAAGGGGCTACGTAATCAATCACGAGTGAATAATACACTACACCTATGGCGATGGTGTCCCGTAAACATTATTATTATTATTATTTTTGTTTTGATAAAAAGTATCCCGTATATAATATGATGGGACCACACTTACGCTTACAAAATGTCAGCGGTTGATGAGACCTCCTCTCTCTCTCTCCTGCATCGACCATGTCCAAACAAAGAAAGATCTAGTTGATTGAAAGTTGAAACAGGTCCCTTTCTGCACGGATAGACGGTTTGTTTGAAGTTATTTGTAGGTGTCCCGGGTATGTTATGGTTCTATGTTGCTTTTACTTTTGATGGTTCTGGCTTTTCAATGAAGCTTGGTCACTTGGACAGAAGGATTATGTTCTCAGGGTTTAGATATTCTTCGTTTCTTTGCTCTGCTCATGGTTTAACTTGGGAAGTTCTGCTCGGAAGATACTATGAGAGCTGAACTTTTAATTAAAAGCCCATTTTAACTTGAAGGAGTTGTTTTGGTTTCGTTAAAGTATAGTGAATTCGCTTAATTGGGTCATCTGCTGGAGTGGTAGTTTTCTCTTTATTGCATCGCTGTATTAAGGAAGAAGGAGTTCGCGAGGACCTGGGTTGCTACTTTCGGGAAAAAAAGAAAAAGAGAAACTTGGAGAAAATTCCCTGCCTTTGGATTCTGATTTTCAGTTAGCAGGGTAAGTACTTATCTTGATGTTTTCCATATTTCTCCTGTGCAGCGATTAATCCTAATATTTTCCATACTTATCTTTTTTATTGAACTCGAACGCGGAAGGTTATAAAATCTGATTAACCTGTTTGTCGTATTGTTCTTTTGGATATGCTTTGAATAATCCTGACTGACAAAATATCTTTTTTCCTGAATCATCTCCCAAGTATTAATTTGAATTTTCTGCATGTATCTCGAGGCCCAGGAGCCAAGTGATGCATTTTTTGGCATTTTGTATAAAAAGTGTTTTTGTTTTATGTTCTCGGAAGTTACTAATATTGTATTAAGAAGGACAAAAGAATATTGTTATACTGAAGCAAGTTTTTAGACCTGTTTTCTGCCTGCAATTGGGTTCCCATACAACTAATATACTTCTAGTAATAGATCTCAATTTGAAGAAACATTATGAGGATTTTTAGAACGTTTTTACTCTTAAAAATATATTTTTATAATAGAAAATCATAATTATTTTAGCTTGATCTATTTGTGAGTATTTTTTTCCTGTACTGTAGAGAGTTGCAGAGCAATATACTGAATAAACTGTATGTTGGAAGCTTTCTTAACAAGATTTTTAGAGGATTAAATAGGAACTGTTGTTTATATGAATGGATAGGTAATGTTTAAACAATGCTAAATGTGGGCCTTTCAATTGTTAACTTGAATGTTCAGAATCAACGATACTTTTGTGTGATGGGGAAAGATGTTGCTGAAGTTACACAATTGCTGTCATGCTCCAATGTTAAGGTAGATATGACTGCCATAGCCTTTTCTGTGCATATCAGTTTGAGTGTGTTGAATTTTCCCCAAATGTAGATTTTTATCATCTTGTCTATTCAAATTTTCCGTATCTTTAATCAATTTTATGAAAACCATCTTGACTTCCTTGTAATAAGTTCAGATTGAAATCTGGGCCAGAATAGGATTTTGAATTAGTTAATTACATCCTAATGTGGAGTAATTATAAGAAGATACAAAAATTCAATTGACAACCTGAACAAAATTCAATAAAGAATGCAAAGTTTCAGGAAAAAGGGGATAAAAAAATTCCTTCCTCTCATTGATCAAGAGAGTAAGAAATGGATATAATTTCCTCTCTGAAAACCTAACGAGTTTTCTTGCTTTTTACTTCTTTTTCATTTTTGGCAATGAAGACAACAAAAATAAAGATAAAAAGAATATGAACCTTCACGTGGAGGGTGGCAATGGGTTACCTTTACACTATTGAGGCTTGAATGTCGGGGATCTAATGATTACATGCCTGGTAAAAAGTCAAATTGGGTAGAACTGCATGATTTCATTCCTTCCCAGCACTATATACCCTTTTAAATATTTTATAAGACTATTTTCATGTAAATACATATTCCAATAGAACTGTGGAAATGTATGATAGGTAGGCTCATTGTGGTTAACTAAGGTATTTAATAAGACAATGAAAGGAAAGAAGATGCCCAATGAATGGAGAAAGAGCAGTATGATGCCTATATTTAAGAATAAAAGATGATATACAAAGTTGTAATAACTATTGAGGGATCAAACTTATGAGCTACACCATGAAACTTTGGGAGAGAACAATTGAGCAGAGGTTACAACGTGCAAAAAAAATATTAGAGACCCAATTTGGGTTTATGCCAAGGAGATCAAGCATGGAAGCTATCTTTCTTTTGAGATGATTGATAAAAAAAAGTTTAGAGAGAAGAGGAAGGATCTTTATATGGTGTTCATTAATCTAGATAAAGCATACGAAAGAGTCCCTAAAGAAATAATATGGTAGATCTTGGAAACAAAAGGGGTTCCTAATGGGTATATTGACTTATTAAGGATATATATGCATGAGGGTGCATCAACCAAGGTTAGAATACCTGTGGGAGAGAAATTAGATTTTACAATTATGATGGACCTTCACCAAGGTTCAACACTTAGCCCTTATTTATTTGTTTTAACAATAGATGAATTGATTGAACATATTCAGGAGGAGGTCTCATGGTGTACGTTGTTTACGTTGTTTGCTGATGAAATTGTTTGATGAAACTAACGAAGGATTAAATGAAAAATTAAATTTATGGACAAATACCTTAGAAACAAGAGGTTTAAAATAAGGACTAAAACAGAATATATGATATGTTGATTTAATAATAATAGGAGTACAAATCAGGGTACACATATGATTGGAGACCAAGAGATAACTAAATGAGTCACACCATAGAATGAACAAAATGGAGGGATGCATCCAGAATCTAATGTGATAGATGAATACCACTTAGATTAAAAGGAAAATTCTATAATACAGTTGTAAGGCCAGCTATGTTGTATGAAGCAGAGTGTTGGGCAGTCAAGAAACAATATGTCTAAAAAATGAATGTGGCTGAAATGCATATACTAAGATGGATGTGGAAAAGTTGGAAAGGATAGGCTCAGAAATGAAGTCATTTGAAGGAACCAATGTTTTAAAATGTTAAGGTGTGATGTGGAGCGTTCCACTACCTAGAGGCATGAGGCATAGTTCAAAATGTAAGAGGCATAAGCCTCCTAAAGAGGAGGAAGAAGAAGAAGAGAAAGGGGATCTCATTTTGTTTTTTTTTTTTTTGTTTCATTTTTATGAAAATATGTTTTATATTAAGAAGAATGAAGATGCATAACACTAGTTGAAGGGCGGGGNGGGGGATGATATTATCGAACAACAGTTGTGGATCTGTTCTCACAAACTTTAAACTACCAAAACTAGTTTTTTTCCTCCAATATCCTTTTTTTTTTCATCTAAATATTTATGAGTAGCAATGTTTCTCAGTTTCTGTTTTTATATGTATTTATTTATTCATCTTATCTGAATTATCCAATGACACAGGTGCATCGTTTAATGTGCATGGAGCTTATGAAATCTGTGGATCAAATCTTATGGATATTCCCATACATAGAATCTTCTCGACCACGTTGCACATCTGGAATAGAAGCCCTGTGCTCAATAAACGGTGCAATAGAGAAAGCCAAATTACTCATTCAGTATTGCACTGAAGCTAGCAAGCTATACTTGGTACGATTTCTAATGAATAAAGAAAGAGAAAAAATGCCAATGCATTTAGAACAGCTTTTGATGAACAGAACCTACATAGATCATTCAGACTTGTATTATCTAAGTGTTAGGGAAAGTATTTGGAGGTAAACTTGGCTATTAGAATGAAAGCTTTAGGAAACGGATCATTAGCAATTGGAACATTAATCTGAAAATGATATCAAATTCTAAAGAGCTATTGAATTCATTAGTAGAGTGATCACCACTCCTTGTATTTACCTTGTCCATCTCATGTCTTTCTACTCATTAAGTGGTCCACTTTTAGGATATTTGCTTTGGTTTTAACTAGTATATAGGGAAGCTAATCTGCCTATGGATTATGATTACTTGCTTTTGTTGTGATGTAAATCAGTATATGTGGATACTACATGGATTCCCCTGAGATCTCTTATCATTTGCATTGGAGGATGCCATGGGCTATGCATATGGGTTTACGCAATTGGCAACCCTCCCTCATCTTTTGCCTTTCCCTCTAATATAGTTTTTCTTTCTTCACCATAATAATTAATTAATAAATAAAATAATCACCATCACAATCTACCTTATCCCAACCAAATGTGGTTAACAACATGAATCTTATACTTAACTACCTGAACAGAGGTTGTGCCTCAATTTAAGGTCATATCTTCTGTTAAAGAATTGAACCGAGAAATCTTGCCTCGCTAGTCACTACCTCAACAAGGTTTTTTTTTTTTGTTCTTCCCTTTATCATTCTTGAACTTTCAACCTGCACGAAACATCTTCTCTAGTTGGCATTCCTTTGGTTTTACCATTCATCCATGTCAATATAGTATGTATGCATGTAACTTCACTTTCAGCTTTGGTGTATGTGCAAATGCATAAGATTCCTAAAATATATTTGTACTTTATCCATCCAGATCTAACTCTATACTATGATTTACATCTTCTCAACCTCTTCTTCCTATGGATAATTGATCCAAGACACTGAAAATTGGAGTCCTGTTACACTATACTCTAAAGAACGAGAGAAACTGATGAAAATGTGTCCATTCAATTACTTGATAACCTGATTTTGATCATATCATGTGTAACAATTTAATGGGGTTGTGGATTCTGATTTGATCATCTTTCTAAGCATTCTGGTGAATTCTGTAACCTCACTTTGCTGTTTGCTTATGACATTGTCATAACTGTGGTAGAAATACTGACTACTTTTACAAGGCAACTGGTTCTTTTGTTGTGACTGTATATCTCTTTAAGGGCATAGACATACAAAAGGCAATGGGCCCAGTTTAACCTGCTTTGAACTGAAACCAAACTGAATCAAACCAACAATTAACCCAGAGTGCGAGATGGCAATTTCGAGCAAACTATAAGGGCAGTAAAGGTATATATTAGTGATTGACAACTGGCCACCCACCTATTTTGAAGTGGAAAAGTTACTAGAAGTTATGAAAATCCTTTTTTCTCTTTGATTAATCACCCTGGTTGAAATTTCTGTTGAGATCAATTTGCCTCTATATTCAGAGCCTGTCAAGTGGTAAGCCAAGCTAACAAAATCATCATAATGGAATTAAAGATTTCATATTGCATAAAGCTGTACAAATTACGGCATTAAATTTTCCTGGAAACTATTTTGTTACCATATCTAAAGCTACATGTTTAATTTAAAGTTACTGATTCTGGTAAATTTCTTTTGTAAATAAAGGCATTTTATATGTATGTTGTGGGCTTTTCCATGTTCCCTTTTGTGGCCTATTACCTATTTTTCTTCATTCATCTGAAGTCTTTGAGATTGTTTGCCATTCTTTAAATAACTTGTGCTTTCCATAAACCATTTTCAGGCAATTAGAGGGGAAACCATGGTTGCAAGGTTTGAAAGAGTACGTGATGAACTTGTTAGAAGTTTAAGTCAAATTCAAGATATGGTTCCAATAGTGTTGGCAGTAGAGGTTTGTCAGTCTCTATTCTCCTCTAAGGACTTCATCTATTTATTATTTTTTGTTGTGTGAAATAGGAAATTTTAGAACAATAGGGGTCATTACCCAATGTTGGTCCTTGTTATCTGGGGTCTTGGGAGGGGTAGATTGGTTATGAACCTGATCTTTGGAATTTTATTGCACTAAGTGGCCCCTCTCAGGCTCAAACCAACATTCTTACACTTGTCAGCCTGAGATTTTACCATTGCACCAAGCAATAGAAAGTTACAATGGGGTAATAGTGTAATTAAGACAATGTACAAAACTGTGATGGCATATTTGATATTAATAAAACCTCTAACCATTACTGGTAGAAAAATGGTGGCATGTTTTTTCCACTAAAGAAGGCATGTATCCCCCACTCAACGTCAACCAACAGAAAGCGTCATGCTGTTTTGATCTTATTCTGAGAAGTTAATGCTTTGAACTTGTTGGGGTTGCAGTCATCAGTGTCCCTCCAATACCACATGATATTCTGCTTTTATTTTTTACAATGTTACAGCCACATGTCTAGATGTGTTGTATCTGTAAAACAAATAATACCTTTATCCCTCATGTTAGGGATATTTTAACTCTTATATGGAACAAGAATTTATTAGGATAGTGACAATAAGAAAAGAAGAAAGAGATAACTTAGGTTTAGCTGGCTAAAAATAGGTTTCTCATGTCAGGGCAATTTTAACTCTTATATTGACAACAGATCAACAATAATTTTATTAATGTAGTGACAATCAGAAAATTAGAAAGAGCTAGCTTGGATATAGCTGGCTCAAACTAGGTTTATGGGAGCCTCATTATTACAAAATGTATCCAAAAGATATTACAACCATATTTACAGCAAGGACACAGCTGGATATGGTATTGGATACAAAATTTACAATAAAAACTGAAGTATCAACACGATGCAGCACTCTTGTATGGGTATCCAGGTATCATATCCATAATTGTCAAAATCTTTCAATTTATGATGCAATTCATGATTCAAATCATGAATGGATTTTTTTCAAGAAAATCATGAAGGGTTATGATGCTAATCTTATATCTGAATCCTTTTTCTGAAATAAAACATCTTATGTTTTTTGTTCTCTAGTCTCTACCTTGTCTTTCTCCGTTCCTTCTTAAAATATTCAAGGAGATTTTGTTCTGAAACCCTTTCTAGAGTAAGGTTTGTTTGGGATATTTAAAAACCTGTGTCCGGATCAGGTAGGATTGGTGAACACACTGAATAAGCACTCAATAAATTTTTTGATACCTGTCCCATAAAAAACCCCCCAGCCTACCATTGAAATGATTCAAAACGAATTTCTAAGACAGCTGTCAGAATGTTTATTGGGTGCTTGCTCAGTGTGCTCACTAGGGTGTGCCTACTAGATCTTGTCTTCTTAGGAGTTCTCCTTAAAATAACAGTGCTAAATGGTTTCTAAAAGAAAATTTGGAGATCAATTTGCCAAGAGCACTTGATTGGGTTATTCATAAGGTTCATACCTCTCAAATAGAATCCAATCGTTACTCCTAACTCTGCTATGACTATTTGATTTTATTTCTTTATCATATTCTTTTGGTATAATTTTGTAGTAAAATGTTCTCTGCAGATATCTGGAATCATCAACGATCTTAGGACTTCAGAGTTTCTGCTGGAATCCTCTGAAGAAGAGGTTGGAAAGGTTGTATTAGAGTTGATTAGGAAGGACGTATCTATGTCTGGTTCAATGGAAACTTCTGAAGCTGAGGCATTTAAGCTTGCAGCTTTGAGACTGAAACTTACATCCCCAAAGGCTCTATTGATAGAGAGAAGAGCTATTAAGAAGCTAATTGATAAATTCCATGACACTGAGAAGAAGGAGAGGATCCTTAAGTATCTTCTATATCTTCTGAGGAAATATGGCAAATCATATGAGGGTGATGAAACAGAGAATGCCACTGCTCAGTATGAAAGTGTACATTCAAGCGAAGACTATATATGCAGTGGTGCTATATGTGGTCAGTCAATTGATCAGAAAAATGATGTAGAATATGGGTATAGAGATGCTCGAAGTTATAAATCTTGTACAGCAATACCTCCTGAGGAATTCAGATGCCCCATTTCTTCAATACTTATGCACGATCCTGTCACTATTGCTTCTGGAGAAACCTTTGAAAGGGCGTGGATAGAGAAGTGGCTCAATGAGGGCAACGGAACATGTCCAAAGACTCATAAAAAGTTGCCACATCTATCTATTACTCCAAACTATCTAATGAAGGACCTTATTTGCAAGTGGTGTACAGAGCATGGGGTCACAATTCCTAGCCCATGTTCACAACCAATTCCTGCAGCATTTTACTCGTGGAAAACTTCATCTTCCAATTCCATTGCTAGCTTTGGCAGTTCTCTAAATGATGCACATCTTAGGATTGATGTCAGTACCGTATCTATTGACTCTTCAGATGTTAGTTATGTTTCTGATTCTTCTCATGTTAAGGTGACAGATAGCTCAAGTTTTATATCCTCTCAAGGGAATTGCAATTTCCACAAATCCCAATCTTTTGAAAGTTTTAACAGTGAGAAAATTTCACTGTTGCTCTCTAAACTTGCTGCACTTCCGTGGGAATCACAATGCAAAGCTGTGGAAGACACTAAAAAGCATTGGAAAGACAATTACCGATCATGCTATTTTGTGTTATCTAATAGTTCTGTTGACTCACTAGTTAGATTTTTGAAGTGTGCATGTGATGTTAATGATACAAAAGCACAAAGGGATGGTGCTCAAGTGCTTTTGGCATTACTTAGGGAGACCAGGTAATTTGTCCTTCGCTTTTGCTGGTGGCTATGTCTAATAAGTCCTTCTTTCCTTGAAAATCCTTTATCCCCTATAGAATGCATACAAGATAATTTATTTTTCAAATGGGTTTAAAAATTTGATAGATGTCCTATGTGATTCTGATTTATTTGTTTTTATATGCTTCTAATTTTTGACTCATCCAGTGGGTGTAAAAATTGGTTTCTCTCAGCTGATATCATGTAAAACTGTCAGTCTGGCATGGTTGCATGGCTTAAATTTACCAAAGAACATGTTTTTTCCAGTCATTGCATGGCACCACCTAGTGTGTCTCTTCACTGTAGAATGTTGAAAAAAAAATTTCAGATGATGAAATGTTATATTCTTATCTTGTGCTTATGGTCCTTGTTCATGTTTAGCCTTGACTATGAAATGCCTTCATGGTCATGCTTGCATTTCCTTTCACCTTTCTAATATATGATTTTAAAGAAGATTCCCTATTTTTCTTATTTTCACATTTTGTGCTGTTTTGTGCAGTGCAATACCACCTTTAAGTGAAGAGATGTTTCATTTATTGGTTAATTTTCTCAACTCTGAAATCACTGAAGAAGCTCTTGTGATTATGGAAGTTTTGTCAAGCCACCGGCATTGTCGATCAAAGATTGTGATGTCTGGTGCTCTTCCTTCCATCCTAAACATGCTTGATACTCAAATTAGAGAATTCCAGGCTCCTGCTACTAGAATATTGTATAACTTGTCCTTAAACAGAGACATTGGGTCCTGTATTCTGTCCTTGGGATGTATCCCAAAGTTGATTCCGCTTTTCAGTGATAGTTTGCTTGCAGGGCATTGCATTAAAATTCTAAACAACTTGTGTGATATTGAAGAAGCAAGGAAAGAAGTTGCTGAAACCAATGGATGTTTAACTTCCATTGCAAAATTACTTGAGACGGGGAATCCTGAGGAACAAGAATATTCGGTGACTGTTCTCCTTTCTTTATGTTCTCAGTGCATAAAGTATTGCCAGATGGTCACGGACGAGGGCGTTATCTCATCTTTGGTCATTATATCAGTCAATGGGAATATCGGAGGGAAGGAGGGTGCAATGGAATTGCTTAGGATTTTGAAAGATATAAGACATAATGATCATCTTGAAAGTTTGACTTGTCACCCTGGACTGGACCCTGACTTGTCACGGGACCCTGCAAAGCACTCCAAAGGGAAAAAGCCATCTTCCAAGGCTGCTCACTTTTTTGGAAGAAAGTTGGTAATATTCTCAAAGCCCTGATCTTTAGCTCTCTTATGAGCTTTGGCGACTTGGATGGTCTATATCATGGAGGACAACAAACAGGGTCCAGGTACAGTTATTTGTGTATATTTCCACATGAGCTGACCAGTTTACATGCTTATGAGCTTATCAAGGGAAAGTATAAGCAACATATTAAGCTTGATATGATCCATAGGTGATGGGTCTCTTGCTTCATCAGCAAAACATGGTGCTGAAGCACCATGATTGGTTAAAGAAGTATCTCTAAGGGAATTTGGGTTAATACAGCTATAAAGTCTGATTACCAAAATGCGCTGAAGAGACTTCATGAACCAACCATGATGTTTCAGCACAGTGTGCTTTTGAAGCTTTAGCAGCAGATAGGAACTCATGAGTAGGTTGGTCTGTCTTGCTAACTGTATGAATATATATGTAATTACAATTAATTGGTTACTCATTCACGTTGTTTCAGCCGGTTGTTCTGGCTTTTTACTAACAAAATTGTAAAGTCGTGCTGTATGAATGGAGGTAGCTGCTTTTTGATATGATCAGTTCTGGTATTTCTTGGTGCACTTTTCCCTGCGTCCATGTTGAGGCTCGATCAATTTTCTTCATTTCAAGTTTGAGGTATTTGAATATTGTAGCATTATTCAACTGTACATGTCACAAGACAGTTATTCAACTGTAAATTGTCACAAGACAGTTTATCTGTGCAAGCAATTATCTATATAAATCTGTTGCCAGTTGCAACTGGTAACTTCATATTTAAGGTTGTAGCCTATTTTATGCACTTAAATTCTGTTGTTCTTTTCCCAGTTCAATTTGTTTACTGGAATCTTTTACATTATCACAGGATATTCTTTCCTCAATTTTAAGAAAAGGAGTTTCAGATATCAAGATGACTTTTAATTTGGTAATATACCCTTTTCTTTCAGTAAATTTCACAATAAACTAGACTTTTTCTCCCCAAAGAAAAAGGAAAGGATACATAAATCTCTGTATCCGTTTATAAAGAAGCCGGATCTGCTGTACCTAGGGCTATTGACTTTGCTGTAGACCCAATGAATGAATGCCACCTATTCTTTGCGCAAGTGGTGGTGTTCCCACTTCCCATGTATGCTTTATTATTTATTTATTTTTAATTTATATAGCCCATAATTCATGAACCCAAAAATTGCATGTTATTTCTTTCCTTTCTATTTTCACTCATCCTCTTTTCCTCATCCTCTCTTCCTTTCCCTGAACCCTAATCTACTGGATTTCAACCTGAACACTTCATAAAAGGATCAGCATACTCCAAACTCTAATATAGATGTTTGTCGTTGTATAAGTCTTCATTCTATTTTGAATACTAGTAGATTTCAACAATACAAGTTAAATGATTTGATTATTTGAATCCGATTTTCCCCTGTTTTTCCAAATGACAAATAATTATTATGTGAGTTTTTTTTTTTTTTTTTTTTTCTTCAGAAAGGATATTCCATTAAAAACAGTGAATTATTATATGATTGTGTCAAGACGTTTACTTGAGCAACTGGTCACTGGACATGATTAATATATCAACTGTTCTTTTATTCAAGTTCCATATGTGAATAATGCTTGTAGAAGAAAAGCATAACTTGGTTGCCATATATTTCAATAATTACTCCTGTTCAGCTAATCCTAAGTTCAGCTAATCCTAAGTCTAAGAAGTGAACATTTTTCTTAAGGCAGGAGGAAGCGAAGCAATTGGGTCAATCCAAAATTCCAAATCCATCCTGACCCTAAACCAATAACCCGATGGCGTTATGTTGGTGTTGTTGGGTAACGGCTATGATGGAGACTTGAGAGTTCAACAACCTAAGTTGGGTTAGGGGTACTGTTACCAATTCTAAGAATTTGTCTTGGGCTTTCTTTGCTTGGTACTGTTATCAATTTTTTGAATACTGTTATCAATTTTTTGTATTCAAGTTTCTGGATCGAATGAAATATATTTGCCTTTGCCTTCAAAAAAAAAAAAAAAATGTTGGGTTAGGGGTGACCGCAACCTGATCAAATCCAGCCCGATTTACTTAAAATAAAAAAGAAGATATACTATGCACTCCATGCTTTCATCGCAACCCCCTGGTGACAGATCACTTGATTAGTAGAATGAGAACTGCATGCAATCTTCGAAGGGAAGCTAAGCATATTATGGAATATTTGCTTTTAAGTTTTAATTATAATTTTGCGGTGAAATTATATTTAGATTTTAGAGTTATCAATCTGGTGCAACATTTATTGAGTTATCTTCAGTAAGCTTAGCTAATATTTGTTGATGGATGGGGACTAGAGAGAATGATACCCTTGATTAACTTGAATATTGAAGAAAAAAATTGATAAGCTTTTCCACCTAAAATAAAAATTTAATATAATCGATTAAATTTAATAAGGATTAATACAAAGCAAAATTCAAAAGATTCAAGAAAAGCTTATTAAAACATGAGAATTATTTATTGGTCAATTGAGTTATTTTCTTCATTTTTAAAATGAAAAAAATTCAAAAAGCGCAGAAAAAAAGATAATTGATTCTCAAAAATGCTTAGTACATTCCATTTTAATATGTGGGGTCTGAATTTGGGTTATAACTTTGAAGCCCATTATGTAGTTGTAGTAAATTTTATGTGAGCCACCGTGAGATTATGATGAGTTGAGCCCAATCATCACCTTAGGACTGCAAATGGGTCGAATCGAATTCGGTAAGGGAATATCCTATTGAGTTATTTTGTTTTCTACAGCCCAAAGCTCAATCGCCTGAATTCATTTATTTATTATTATTATTATTTTTTTTTTTTGGGGGGGGGGATAAGAAAAGCTTGTCATTTAACAATTAACACTTTGGAAAATTAATAGATACCGTCTTCTAAATGAATAGGGAGCCATTTGGTTTGTAGACAGGATTAGAATCGGAATCCTTGGGAATCAAAATCGGAATCACCTATTGTTGTTGTTTGGTTCATTTGGAGTTGGAATTGCATTTAACTGAAAATTTTAAATTTTGTATTATTCTATTTATTATTTTATTATTACTATTAATATTTTATGAATATATAATTGTTATTTTATTAGTACTTTGTCATCATTATTTTATTAGTATTTAATATTAATATCTTAGTATTTATCATTAATTTATGAATATTTTATTAATATATTATTACATTAATAATAATAATATTATTATATCTTATTGTTATTTTCTTATTAGTTTATTAATATTCTATTATTTCTTATTATTTTAAAATTAATTTATTATTATTTAGTAATTAATATCTTTATTTGTTATCATTAATATATTGTTATTTATTATTGCTATTATCTTATTATTAATTTAATAATATATTATTATTTTATTAATGTTAGGGTTAGGGGTTTTTTGTCATGAATTATTCACTTCTTGATAAATACTCGAATGGGAATCCCGTTCCCCCAAGAATGGGAATAGGAATCCCATTCCTACCAAACAAACAGTTGGATTCCGATTCCAGGCACAACTTCCAATTAAACAAACGGACCCTAGGATTCTCTTAAATTAATTTTTGGTTATGTCTAGAGAGGATCTACTGTTTCAGAAAAAGAAAGAAAGAAAGATTATATATATATAACAAAATAATATAACCTTTATATTAATATAATCTTCTTATCTGTCAAAAAAAAAACCCTATCAAACATCCTTAGCAAAGCAATATATATATATAAGAAAAGGAAGATAGTGATAAAAAGGGAAGAATTCTTTAAAAGCTAAAAATATCAATTGAAATCACAAGAGGACACACTAAACGATATTGAAATGTTCAAATTCTCTCATAATAAAGGAAATTCCATTTCGAGGTTCACGCACTTGTAACTTTTAATGTGATATACTATATATATATATTAGTGGGCCCCATACGATGCACAGGAGATTGATACCCAATAGATGACAGAAGGAATGAGGAGAGATTGTAAACCTTCCATCATTTGATTTGGGAAAAAATTAATAGAAGAAATCATGAAATTAATGTAAATTAGTCCAACCCAAGCATTATTTTTAGGTGACTTACCTATCTATAGAATTAAATTATAATTTTACTAATTTTGAAATATTAAAATCATAAAATTTTATTAAGTTTTAAATTTTAAAGCAATGCAATTATTTTAATTTAATTCCACTTAAATTAGATAAGAGAACAAAATTGATCGCTTTTCTCCAGCTGAAAAAGGGAACACTATTAAACTATGTATGCTACAGTAGAAAATAGCCACATACAACGCGTAAAGAAAAGTTAAATCTCAAAGAAAATATCGTTGAAAACTCTAATATGTTTAACTGCAAATTAATTCAACTGTTATTCGGTCTACAATAGAAAATCAACATTTTCAGTTAAATCCATGAATGTAACTGTTCAGTTTATGGTTGAATTGGCTCCGGATGTCACATGTCATCTATGTGGCCATTTTATCTCTTTGTTCATGTCAGTGTTGCATCACCTCCGTGGCCGAGTTTATCTCTTCGGTCACGTTAGCATCGCGTCACCTCTGTGGCCCTACCTTATCTCTTCAACCACATCAGCACCATGCCATGTGGATAAGTGCAACCAAGATAGGAGGCCATCACGTGGATGGGGACAACTCCGCCGAGGATTAGGTCCTATCCCGAATACCTTGGCGGGTAACCTCATCCAAACAACCCCGGAAGCCTCATCCGATCAGGACACGGATCGTAAATGATCCAACTTTTGACTCCCATACTATTACCCTACTCGGACCAGCATCGTTCTCTAACTGCTCGGCCCGACCAACGACCGCCCACTGCTTTCTATTAACTTGAGCGTCGAAGTGCTTACCTGGGGATAACTCTTCGAGCCTCTGGCATTTTCTTGGTTTCAGATCTCATTGCGCGACTTTGTCCTTCCACCTCAGCTCCGCCCAGTTGGCAAGGATTATCTGATTATGACCTCGGTTCTTGCATTACTTAGGATCGAGCAACATTAGTAACAATTTTCTTGATTAAATCCCTCTACTTTGTTACAAAAAGCAAAGATTTTAGATGTAGAGAAATTGCAAAATTAAAACCAGATCTGTGAAGTACCCAAAAAAAAGTATTTGACCGCCACAGACTGAGCCATCGATTTTGATAGTTAGGATAGTTGAACCAGTAGGCTTCTCTCTCTCTCTCATTCGATTTATAAATCTATTTTTGTTTTGTTATTTAACAGTAAATTGTCAATAATAATTGGAGATTAAACAACTATTATTTAACTTTTAAAATTTAATTTATCGTATTTATTGTATTTTTGTCATAAGTTTATTTTTATTATTTATGTATTTTTTATAATTTATTGATTAATATTTATTAGAGGTTAAACTATTATTTGAGATTGCACTATTTATTGACAAATTTAATATATTTTTAGTATTTATTGTATTTTTGTAATTATTGTATTTTTATTAGATATCTATTGTATTTTCATTATAAATCTATTTTCAATAATTGTGTATTTTTGCTATAAATTTTCAATAATTATTAAAAATTAAACTATTATTATTTATTAGATATTAGACTATTAATTTAGCTGAAATTAGGAGTACTGAAAGATTTGTTCAGTTCAGTTGCAGGCTCTTTCGCCAACCAAATTGACTTGGTTAGGTTGGAGTTTTTCACCCGAAATAATTGACCATTAGTTAAAACCCGCCAACTCGTGTTGTATTAGTTTGGGTTTATTTTCGATTTGGCTTGCTTGCTAAGAAGATTTAAACTTAAAAATTAAAGTT